CCTATGAAACTATAGACTTAGTATTTTGTCTTCTACAAGCATCTAATTTGAACCAGTGCTGCATTCAACATGCCATGTGACACACAAAAATCGATGTTTATCTGTGTTTTTTGTAATATTTGCTTTTAAATTAAGAAATTGAGTAATATATAGTACTAAAACTTGAATTATAATCTACAGATTGATACCAAACTTACTGACATAAGTTCATGAAACAGTAGTTCAATAAAATTTTTAATACAATTTAATGAATGAGATGACATGGCTCATCTTGAAAAGGTTAAATGCTTTGGTTATGTGCACGGTAAACTTGACTTGTGTGAAGTGTCTTTCCAGTACATCAGAAATATATGGGTTAGAGTTCTGTAACATGTACAGAAATGTGTGCTAGTGGTAAAGTTTACTAAACAACAACAAAAAAAATCTTAGACTTGGTTTGTGTGACATTTTTTGATATTTCAGTAATATTTTTTCAACACATTCACACACACATGTGAATAGTGATTTATTCCATAACACTAATTATTGCACATGTGTTGGGAAAGAAGGGAGAGTTTTTTGTGAATTTTTGGCAATTTTCAATACTGGAAAAATTTTCTACTCACATTTTTGATACAACTTGTATTCATTTTTAGGTTTTGCTTGAATGATAAAGTAATTTTTGGGATGAAGATGTATCCTTGGATTTGGGAAAAATGTATTTAATTTGTACATTATTGTGTAACTAGAAGACCTGCAAAGCATTTTCTGTCAAATTAGTATCTTTATTGCAACAGTACTTCTGTAAATACAGGATTTGTAGAATTATACAGAAGAACTCTAATCTACAAGTCAACTTGTCGTAGACCTAACATTAGTAAAGCTTTTATTAAGTACAATGTATATTCAATAAAGAGATAAATTAATGCTGTAGCTTGTGTATGTATTTTGCTTTATAGTAGTTAGGGCTGAACTTTACCATACTTAATACTCTAAATAAGGACAGATAAAACTAAATATTATTATAATAGATGTTATCCTTTTTTTTTTCTGTAATAAATCTTTTGCACTGGTGGCAGTAATCAGTAATTATTATATAACTACTTTGATAAATGATAGATTGATTGCAGGAATTATAAAATAATTTATTACTCCACTGATTATAATCAATGAAGTGATACAATTTCAAATTTTCCCTATTTTTCAATAAATAATTTTAATAAAGCTGTTTTCCTTGGTTTGGTGTAGATAATACTGTAATTTGGGAGCATATTAGAATGTGTAGTTGTTGTCCATAGTCACAAACAAGATTTATTATTCTTAATTTGGTTGTTCTTTTAAATTCATATAGCTGATGAATTAAATGTTATTTAACTTGGGAGTTTGTTAGAACTCTTTTAGCTGTTCTTGATAATCACAAACAAGGTTACTTTAATGTGGGATTTCATTAGAAATCGTATAGCCATTCTACATGATCACAGAAAAAGTTACTTAATCCTGGGATTCGTTAGTAACCATTTAGCCATTCTTCTGATCACAAACAAAGTTACTGTAATAACATGAAAGTTCATTAGAGTAAATATAACCACTTTCCTAATCAATAACAGTTACTTAATCTTGGTTTTCATTACAACGTATATAACCACTTTCCTTATCACAGACAAAGCTATTTAATCTTGGTGTTCATTACAACGTATATAACCACTTATCACAGACAAAGCTATTTAATCTTGGTGTTCATTACAACGTATATAACCACTTTCCTTATCACAGACAAAGCTATTTAATCTTGGTGTTCATTACAACGTATATAACCACTTTCCTTATCACAGACAAAGCTATTTAATCTTTGTGTTCATTACAACGTATATAACCACTTTCCTTATCACAGACAAAGCTATTTAATCTTGGTGTTCATCACAACGTATATAACCACTCCTTATCACAGACAAAGCTATTTAATCTTTGTGTTCATTACAATG